GTGTACAATTCTGAGGTGCCCCCAGTCCTGGTGTACAATTCTGAGGTGCCCCCATCTTGATGTACAATTCAAAAATGAAGCAGTCTTTGTGGACATGGTGATACAAGTATATTAATAATTTAGACTCCAGTAAGGTTTCCAGTCTGTGGCAATCATTAAATTCTGCCTTGAGGCAGTGACTTAACTGAGGCATGACAACAGCTTATATTTATAAGGAACTTTAAAAACACCAAAATATTCCAAGGCTGTTCATAACGGTGTTAATAAACCAAATCATACAAAGAGATTTTGGGTCAGACAATTGAAGATTTTGTCAAAGAATTTTAAGGAGCATCCTACAAGCCTCACGATTTTAACCAAATATTTTACCTGCTCCCTCTTTTGCACCTATTAACCATGCATCCCATCAGCCAATCCACTGAACGACAACTCCCAGTTAAAATCCTTCCCATCCTTGTCTCTGAACAGCTCTGATCAATCTAAGAAAGATTGGAACTTACAGAACAGTTTCTGTGACATTGAGAGGTGAAGACTTGATCAAATTGTCTCATTTTTCTGTCAACTTTGATTTTTTCAATTCTGATGGTCTTTAAACAGTCAATACAATTGTTAACAAAGTGTCAGAAATGCACTGTGTCCTCAATTCTGAAACTGTACACGAAGCTCAGCAGGAAGCTGAAAGCTTGAAGATTTCATTTTCTTTTGTCAGATCAGCAATTCAAATCCAATTACTCCTATCAGCTACTCCTCGTGTCCATAATGTCTGCATTTCAAACGACAATATCGAATTTGATAATAGTGGTGTTATATAGCTCACCATTAAACTTAGGGGGTTATTATGCATTGATGTGATGATTATGGCCCAGGCAGTGACAGACTGCCATTGCTGTTGCTGCTGCTATTAAGTTCTTCAGAGCTGCTGATGAGGATAACACTGAACTTTTGGCTGCACCATTTTGTCTGACATTAGTGAATAAAATGAGAAGTGAATTGACGAGAAAAATGTCTTTTCCTTACATTCTTGTTTAATTCTGCTGATAGATAGCTGTAATAGTTTAGTTCAGTTACTGGAATAATAAGCGGTGTACATCATGGAAACAACTGGAGTAACGCAGTCTTGGTGAACATTACTAGAGTAAGCTGGTGCCAGTGAACACTAATGCAGTAACCCAGCTTGGAATACCGCGGTGAGTAACTCATGTCCTGACTCCCCTGTGCCTGCCCACCATCGGCAAGGCACAATTCAGGAGTTTGATGGAATACTCCCCACTTGCCTGGATGGATGCTTGACACCATCCAGGATAAAACAGCCTGCCTGATTGGCACCGCATCCACAAGTATCCACTCCCTGCACCATCGATGCAGAGTAACAGTAGTGTGTACTGTCCACAAGATGCATTGCAAAATTTATCCAACATCCTTAGGCAGCATCTCCCAAACCCACAAGCACTTCCATCTAGAAAGACAAGGGCAGCAGATACCTGGGAACATCACCCCCTGCAAGGTCCCCTCCAAGCCACTCACCATCCTGACGTGGAAATACATCATTGTTTCTTCACTGTTACGGGGTCAAAATCTTGGCATTCCGTTCCTAAGGGCATTGGGGGTCAAACTACAGCAGTTGGGACTGTAGCAGTTCAAGAAGGCAACTCAACACCACGTTCTCAAGGGCAGCTAGGGATGGGCAATAAATACTGGCCCAGCCAGGGACACCCACGTCCCGTGAATAAATAGGAATGAAACAGCCTTAGTGTACATTTCCGGGTTAACCAGTCCCAGTGTACATTACTGGAGTAAACTATCTTGTTGTGGGTTCTGAATATTGATTGCAGATGTGTCCTATGTAAAGAGACTTGCATTACTCTTAACAGGCTTGAAGATTGTGATGTACAAAATGTCTGAAGAAATTGTGGTTTCTGTTGCTTTGAGTTATGGCTATTTTATGATGATTCCACTGTTACGATGTCAGATAATAACTTCTGTGCAATGCTTATTCTGGCTGCAGGTAGTACTCATAACTGAAATGTTTCCACAGGGTGATATAGGAGGAGAACGTGTCCTTCAGAAAAGGTGGACAACATTCCTGAAAGCCCAGCTATCCTGTTCTCTTCCTGATGATGGCTTCCCATTTAATGTTATTCAGGATATGTTTGTTCTGTCTACTCGAAAAGAGGATTGGGAAAACACAACCTTTTATGGAGTTTTTACTTCTCAGTGGTATGTGAATTCAGCATTAATTATTATTCAAGCTCAAAGCCAGATCATCTCAATTGTCCCAATTTAACAAGGACATTCTGATCTTGTGAACCCTTTTCAATAACGTGCTGATATCTAAAATGTTCCCTGGATTGTTCAACCCTTCCGGTCTTCTGCTTGAAGACACAATGGTGTGGGAGATGAAGGAACCATGATGTGTGTTTAATTTGTAGCCACATACTCTCAATCAGAGGGATTAACACTTTCTGTATGTTAATATTTTTTAAACATTTATTTATGAGATGTGGACATCACTGGATAGGCCAGCACTATTGCCCAATGGGAAGCTAAGAGTCACCTAAATTGCTGTTGTTGTGGAGTTGTGTATGGGCCAGACCAGATAAGGGTGGCAGATTTATTTCCCTAAACAACATTAGTGAACCGTGTGAGTTTTATGACAATTGACAGTGATGGATTTTTATTCCAGATTTTTATTGAATTCAAATTTCAAGGAATCACAGAAGTGTAATAGTTACGGAAAGAGGCCATTCTTTCATCCTTAGCCTTGAGACATGAACTGTATTCTTATAAATAGCTGTTCAGTGTCCATCAACCGTCTTTTGTCCTAGAATCCTTTCCCTGTCCATTCCACACAAATCTGCCTGGAACTCAGCATGAGTCAGGATATAGGCAGCAGAAATTTGGATGTTCTCACATTGACAGCTGACCAAGAATGTGTAGGAATAGTCTGATTTAGAGATAAGGCATGGATAGGCATTTCAGCAGCAGATCAGCTGAGGCAGAGAAGTGGAAGTATGTAGCCTTTGTGATAGGCATGAGGATAGCGCTAAATACTCATTGAATCCATAATTTTTACTGAACAGAGATCCGAGACTATTACTTACTGCATTACAAAAATAATGTGGCATTCATCAGTGATTCAGATATATGTATATGTTTAATTTGGAGCTGATTATGGGATTCTACACTGTTACTCCTTGTTACAGGTATAGAGTAACTGCTAACTTTTGCTTTTATGGACCTTTCTCTCATACAGTTAAAATGATGTACAGGAACTGTGTATGAAATTTACAACATCCTATTTTAAAAAAAAAGGAGCAAATGAGAAATGAACCTTTCAGTATTACTGTTTGATTACACCTTGCAAAATTAGTGGTTGTTTTCTGTCACTTGTAGTAACAACTACCAGACTGTTTATCTGTAGCTGGTACACAACACCACAGTGTGAATGAGTTGATCATGTTGAATATAGTGACTGAAAGATTGATGGGTCTGTCTGACAGAGGAGCGTTTAAGTTGTATGAACTGGAAGGAGAGGTAGAGACATGACCACTACGTTAATTCTCTTATTGACTTTCAGGTACAAGGGCGGGGGAGCCACTTCTGCTGTTTGTGCATACTCTATGGAAGATGTGAAGAGGGCCTTCAATGGAAGATACATGGAAGTGAATCGGGAGACACAGCAATGGTATCCCTATAATCATGTTGTTCCTGAACCAAGGCCAGGAGCTGTAAGTATCTCTGATAATTAAGAATGAGCCTTGTTGAGTTTTGAAGGAATTAATTGACATTTTAACACAAAAGCCTGATGCTTTATCCCAGAGCTATGTACATTGTGAAAGTTAGTTCTGATTATATTCTGGATCATTCAATGATCTTTCTAGTCATCAATTAAAACCTTGCATAGAGCCCCTATTTCCTGACAAAAGTTTACTTCTGGCTGCAGTAATTTTTCATCATGGATTTCTTTCGCTACTCTAAGTAGCTATGTCAGCATTTCCTATGTTGAATAACACTTGAAGGAAGCATTGAGGGAGGCCAGAGTGCAGAATTGTCTCTGCACGGTGTCGTCAATGTCTTTCACTGAGAGTGGCATGTCAGTACCACTACTGACTGAGCTGGTCAGATCCTAGGGGACTTGTTTGTTAGACTGGGTGTGCAGTAGGTAGTGAAGGAATCCACAAGAGGGAAAAACATACTTAACCCCATCCTCACCAATCTACTGTCGCAGATGTATACCCATGGCATTATCGGTAGCAGTGACCATGGCACAGGCCTTCTGGAGAGGAACGTCTGCCTTCACATTGAGGATACACTCCATTGTATCGTATGGCACCATCCTTATGCTAAATGGGATAGACTTCAAACAGATCCAACAACTCAAGACTGGGCTTGACTGTGAGGTCTGTAAGTCGTCGTTACCAAGAGTGGCTTGGTAGCATTATCACTGCCTGAGCTGGTCAAGTCTTAAAGGACACAGCTGCTAGACTGAGTCTGTGGTGGCACGTGGTGAGGGAACCAGTACTTGACCACATCCTCACCAATCTACCTGTTGTAGATGAATCAGTCTGTGACGGTATTGTCACAATTGATCAGGGCACAGGCCATGTGGGGACAAAGTCCTGTCTTCACGTTGAGAATACTCTCCATTGTGTTGTGTAGCGCTGCCACTGTACTCAATGGGATAGACATCAAACAAATCCAGCAGCTCAGAACTAGTTGTCTGTGCGGTGCAGCTGGCTATCTTCAACAACAGAATTGTTTTCAGCCTAATTTGTCAGAACTGACCCAGTAGCGATTTCCCCTTTGAATGGATGGTAGTTCTTCAATTGTCTTTGGCTACACAAACCCCCTCAACCAAAACCACCAAAACAAAGGAACCGCTTATCCCATTGATGTCTTCGAGTGCTTACCATTTGCAAATCAGTGAACACTTCAGCTGACTAAACAAGATCCTTTTCACTTCAGCAAAAGAAAGTTATTCATTCGCTGTGCAAGGGCTCTGGGAAATCCTGAAGATGTGAAGCATATTCGATCCATGTGGTACATTCTTTGTCACAGAAATATTCGGAACAAAGTTGCTCTGGTCTGTCTAATGCCGCGCTACCTCCAAAATATTTTGCTGCAAATTGTATTCATGTGCTGTACCAGCAGATTTTGATATATCTGACATGTTGAAAGCAGTGCAGTTTACTTTTGTCATTGTTGAAAGAGGTGAATGAAAACTCTAGTCACACAACATAGTTTTAAAATATGAGTCTGCTGCTGTCGCAAACTGTTTTAAGTTGCAGTATAAATAAATGTTTCTAACACTTATTTAGTCACCTGGAGTCAGTAGACTTCACTGTCACTCTCCCTCTCTGTTTCTCTCTCTTGCTCTTTCGCCCTAAGTTCTGCACAATGGTGCAAATTAGGTCCAATGATTGTGATAAATGGTTAGCATACAGATCAGTGATGATCTAACTGAATAGTGGAATGAAGTTAAGGGGCTGAATGGCCTCTTATTACTATGTTTCTGAACTGTAACATATGCATTTTGCTTGGGAAAGCTACTACTGCCACAAGACTGACAATTTTTTTGCTACTTTGACAATTATGCTTAAGCTCTGGATTCGCAAATGAAGTTATAAGGTCATAGGTTATAAATACTCTCAGCTTTTGCCAGCAGAAACATAGAGTAAGAGCACACATAGCGCCAGATGATTTAATGTGCCGTGGATTTGTTAATAGGAAATGATGGGATTTGGAGAATTAATGATACACGGAAAAGAATACTTCCTTCACACCTTTCAAGCATCTAATGAGGTTCTTAAATGAAGGACAGCTCATTCATCCATCAGCAGATCAGTCAAAACCATCTTTGTGTTGACTCAGTGTCAAATTTCAAAGGCTTGTCATCATTGATCCCTATGTGGAGGTGGATGTGATTGGTATAATGGGGATAATGGTATAAAGCCATGCTTTTTCATTAGGCAAGTTTTCAATGATAACTAGTCGACAGATCTCACAAGCAGAGAATTGAATATGAGGAGAAACAAGAGTGAAACCGTAATGGAATAGTAATTAACCTAAACTGGAAAACAAACCTGCATTAATATGGCAACCACCGGTTGTCTCAAAGCAACTTAAAGCAAATGAAGTAATTTTGAAAATTGTAGTTGCTGTTGCAATATAGAAAATTTAGCAGCCACATTGTACACCGCAAGGTTTTACAAACAGCAATACAGTAAATAGCCATACAGTCTGTTAGTGATAATCATAAAGGGCATGATCATTCAGATAACTCCCCTTCTCTTCAAGGATCTGTTACATCCATCAAAGCAGACAGAGATGGGGCCTAAGTTTAATGGTACATTTGAAAGACAGCACCTCCAACAATGTAGCACTTCTTCGTTGCCATTATTGAAGTGTAAGCCATGCCTTTTGTGCTCAAGCCCTGAAGGGTGACATAAGCGAGGGAGCTACTAAGTGCGCCATGACTGACATTATGAAGTGAAGTGGTGGACATCATAGAAATGCTTTCAAAACTGCAACACTTATAAGACAAAGATGGCAGAAAGTCAGCTTCATAAACTACAATGGGTGTGAGATGGACAGTTTGCCACTGTGTTGCCAAGGCAATGAGGAATGAGCAATAAGCCCAGCTTTGGCAGCGGTGCTGCCAAATGATTCAGAATGAGGCAAATCACCCCATCATAATACAGACTGTATAAAACTTGCAAATAGTAGGGGGCTGTTGGAAAATTGGGCAAAGACAAAGGGCCTCCAACATCACAAGAAAAGAGAATAGTGGAATTAACGAGAAGTGTATTGAAGTTATTGGCTGTGGTATTGACAGCCAGATAGATCATGGGCAGCTTTTATATTCAGTCCATGCCAGTTGAGTTTCTACACAAGAATTGAATACTCCCATCACAAGTTAGATGTAGAACAACTGATTTTCTGTCTCAATTTTGTAATACTCATTTAAATATTTTTCAGTTTGAATGGTATGTTAACAATTGTATTCAAGGTGCCCTTTAAAAGAGAACATGTGTGTATGCTGCTGATGCCTATCATACTGCAACACAGTGTCACCTTGATTGATCCAATTAAAGTGAAGCTGCTTTCTTTCAAGAGTAAAGGGAACAGGTTTTTGCCAATAAAATGTAGTCTTTTGGTTGTAGAGAATTTGAGTATTCTTGAAAAGAGACATATTTTGTCAAACATTTTCATTTTGCACTCATTAGGACAGTTTACAAGAAATACTAAAGAAAAGGGTAAACAAGTTTTTTCATATGAGAGGCGAATGCTGATTGGTTGGCAAGAGGACTCTGACTGGAAGAGGTTTCATCATGGCGAATGCACCAGTCAATATGATTGACAGTTAACTGTCAAGTTTGTGGTTAAAATTTAAACAAGGCAGGTTGACTCTGAATGGTCAAGGCATTGCCCTAAGCAATAAACCAGAGAATGTCTGTCACCTGTTTTGTTGCATTGAAACAGGCGCAATATGTCTGCAAAGAACAGAGCCCTTATTTAGCCCTCTGAAGAGCGTCCCACCAAGACACACCGCACCCCCCCCCCCCCCCCCCCCCCCCCCCCCCCCCACCTTATAACTGCATTTCCCATAGCTAACCTATCTAGCCTACACATCCCTGGACACTAGGGCAATTTAGCATGGCCAATCCACCCTAACTTGCACATCTTTGGACTGTGGGGAAGAAACCAGACCACCCAAAGGAAACCCACGCAGACACGGGGAGAATGTGCAATTTCGCTAGGGTTCTTTGATGCTGTACTTGTTTATATGCTGCCTCATTGCTGAGGGCCAACACTCTCACCTTGACAATTCAGCTGTTTTGCCCCTGTTTGGATCAAGGCTCTAATGAGGTCAGGATCTGAGTGATCCTGGTAGAATCCAAACTGAGCCTCAATAGTAGGTTATTCCTTTGAAACTAGCACTTAATAATACTGTCAATGACCCATTTTCTCACTTTGCTAATGATAGAGATTGGACTTATAGACTGGCCAAGTTGGATGTGTCCTGCATTTTGTATAAGGAATATACCTGAGTAATTTTCCACATTGTTAGGCAGATGCCACTGTGGGCCTGTAATGGAAAAGCTGGCAAGGACTGGAGCTCAAATCTTCAGTAGTATTGCTGTTTATTATTACAGTTTATAGTGTACAGCCTTTTTGTGGAATCATACAGACTGAATCAAATTAGTTGAAGACTGGCATCCATACTGCTCAGGGCATCAGGAGGCTTCCAAGATGGATCATCCACTTGGCACCTCTGGCTGCAGATGGGTACAGATAAGTTAAGCTTGTGTTTTGCACTGATGTGATGGGTGCCCCCATCCTTGTGGATGAGGGTTATTTGTGGAGCCTATGCCTCCTGTCAGTCGTTTGATAGTCCACCACCATTCATAGCTGGACGTGGCAGGACTGCTGAGCTTCGATCAGATTCATTGGTTGTGGAATCAATCAGCCCCACCAGTTGCTTGCTCCTTCCAGTTGTTGTAAATGCACTAAGATGTCACGTCATTTCCAGATATGCCTGGTGCAGCTTCTAGGAGGCCCATCTGCACTCTCAATTAAGCCAGGGTTGGTCACTCGACTTGATGATAGAGTGGGCTTGCCTAATGAGAAAGGATTCTCTATTCCACATTATACCATTCACATCCACCTCCACACACGGATCAATGATGTCAAGCTTTTAAAATTTGATGTTGAGTCATCACAAAGACATTTTTTGTTGATGTTCCGATGGATGAATGAGTTGGCCCCCACTTAAGCTCGTTAGATGCTTGAAAGGTGTGAAGGAAGTATTCTTTTCCATGTGTCATTAATTCTCCAATTCCCATCATTTCCCATTAACAAATCCATGGTACATTAAATCGCCATGTGTGCTCTTACTCTATGTTTCTGCTGGCAAAAGCTGAGAGTATTTATAACCTATGACCTTATAACTTCATTTGCGAATCCAGAGCTTAAGCATAATTGTCAAAGTAGCAAAAAAATTGTCAGTCTCGTGGCAGTAGTAGCTTTCCCAAGCAAAGTGCATATGTTACAGTTCAGAAACATAGTAATAAGAGGCCATTCAGCCCCTTAACTGCATTCCACTATTCAGTTAGATCATCACTGATCTGTACCCTAACCCATTTATCACAAGCATTGGCCCTAATTTACACTAGTGTGCAGAACTGGGGGAGGGGTATGGAACAGAGAGAGAGAGTGAGAAGTCTACTGACTCCAGGTGACTAAATAAGAGACAGAAATATTTGTGTATACTGCAACTTTAAGAGAGAATTGCTGCAGCAGATTCATATTTTAAAACTGTGTTTCATTAACAATGATAATGCTGTGCTGTTTGAGTGTAGTTTTCATTCATCTCTTACAAGAGTATCAAAAGTAAACAGTAGGAATACTGCTTTCAGCAGATCAGACATATTAACATTGGCTGGTACAGCACATGAATACAGTTTGCAGCAAAATATTTTGGAGGTAACGTTATGTTAGACAGACCAGAGCAACTCTGTTCCAAATATTTCTGTGATAAAGAATGTACCACATGGATTGAAGATGCTTCAAACCATCAGAATTTCCCAGAACCCTGGCACAGCGAATGAAAAACTTTCTTTTGCTGAAGTGAAAAGGATCTTGTTTAGTCAACTGAAGTGTTTGCAGATTTGCAAATGGTAAGCACTCGAAAACAGCAATGGGATAAGTGACCAGTTCCTTTGTTTTGGTGGTTATTGGTTGTGGAAGACTGTGACATGAAAATAGCTCTCTTGGACAGACACTTCAATGAAATAAACTTGCTGAGTTCTAGAGATAGACCAACTGGATTGTTCTAGACAGCTGGCATCAGATCAGTGGGCTGAATAGCCTCTGTCTGGGCTGTCCTTGTTCCATAAATTTGCAAAGCTTCAGTTCTGTGGATAAACTAGAGATGCTGAGATTGTTCGCCTTGAAGGAACAAAAGTAAAGGGGAGACTTAACAGAGGTGTTCAAAGTTATATGGGCTTTGTTGCAAATAAGATTGTGATGTTTCAGGACCATGCCTTTAATATTGGGTAAAATAGAGACATCAAGGAGTTCATGTGACCTTTCCCAAATTCTACCAATGGCAAGTCTGGGTGTCTTGGCTATGCAAGGTTAAAGGGTTGGTGGGTCACAGTATGTGGAAGCTGGCTGCTTGTTTCACTGGGATAAAAGTTTCAAGGTAGACGTTAGTCACCCTTGCAAAAAGCAATCAAAACATCTGTGCTGGCAGTGGATAGTCTGTTAGATTGCAAAATCCCAGGACAGTGATAAGAATGTAAGATTTTATAAATGGCAACTATGGGATGGCATGGTAGTTCAGTGGTTAGCGCTGCTGTCTCACAGTGCCAGGGACCCAGGTTCAATTCCAGCCTTGTCTGTGTAGAGTTTGCGTGTTCTCCCCATGGCCGTGCGGGTTTCTTCTGGGCACTCTGGTTTCCTCCCACAGTCCTAAGATATACAGCTTAGGTGGATTGGTCGTGTTAAGTTGCCCCATTGTGTGCAGGCTAGGAGTGTTAGCCATTGTAAATGTGGTCCTACAGGCAGCTCTGATGAAGAGACATCTAGACTCAAACGTTAGAGATAGTAGGAACTGCCGATGCTGGAGTCTGAGATAACAAGGTGTGGAGCTGGAGGAACACAGCAGGCTAGGCAGCATCAGAGGAGCAGAAAAGCTGATGTTTCAAGTCTGGACCCTTCTTCAGAAGAAGGGCCCAGACCCGAAATGTCAGCTTTCCTGCTCCTCTGATGCTGCCTGGCCTCCTAGACTCGAATGTTAGCTTGCTTTCTCCCCATGAATACTGCCTGACCTGCTGTGATCTCCAGCATTTTTTAGTTTTCAGTACAGATTCTAGCATCTGCAGTAATTTGCTGCTTCAGGGATAGGTTGGTGCCTGGGTCTGGGTGAGGTGTTCTTTGGAGGATCAGTGCAGACTCAATGGCCCATATGGCCTCATTCCACACTGTCGGCTGTCTACCCAATTCCAATACAAATTGAAGTCAGAAATCTAGAAGATACCTAATTATCATTTCTACAAAGCCAGTGAGATTCACTGCCTTTTGGCTTTGAGAAAATAAAGGTCCACAGGCAGCCATTGTAGGATCGGATGAAAGGTCTTCTTAAAAATATTACTGAATTTATTTGACTGGTTCAGTTTGCAAGATTCTGAGAGAGAGGGAGAGAAAGAAAGAGAGACGGCAAATTTCTATGGTTCACCACATAGGAAAGTGGGTGGGAGCTTGTATTCAGATTGAAAAGACCAAAGTTGTAAGAATTTATACACAAATATGGAAGATTCGCTTAACTTTAGATAAGGGGAGGAATCTCCAAGTAGCTATAAAAAACAGTTGAGCAATTTGAAGTTATCAGACTGAGAAAGGAAAAGAGAGGAAGCTAGTCCTTGGGAACTAACTATCACTTTGGACAAGAGAATAGATCTTTGCTTAAGGGACAAAGTAAAGTATAACCATGGAAGGTAATTTTCAGTTGTTTAAAATGTTAAATGGGGAAGTAAGCGGTCTCCTCTGTAGTTTAGAGAATACATGCCTACCGAATAGTGTTTAGTCAATGTTGCTTTAAGATTGCATGTTACAGTAAAAGCCTTAAAACATGAAATCTTGTGTGTTTTTTTCAGTCATTCATTGGAAGTTTGAATTTCTTTTGAAAAGTTATGAAAGTCTTTGAGGACTGTAACAGGTTTCAGCAAAGTATATTGGTAGAACCTATTTCCACTGGCTAGTAACCAACTGTTGTTATAATCCATTAGTCATGCTTGTTGTTAAGTAACACAGATTTCCCTTTCTTTCATTATCCCTCACAGTGCATTACAAATGCAGCAAGAGCCATGAACATAAATTCTTCATTCCAAATGCCAGACAAGGTGCTGAATTTTGCAAAAGATCACTTTCTGATGGAAGAGATTGTCAAGAGCCAGCCCTTGCTAATGAAGAAACATGTGAAGTACATCCAGATCACTGTGGACAGAGTCCAGACTATCTCGGGCTATTACGACGTGTTGTTTTTGGGCACAGGTACAGAGAATCAGATAGCCTTGCTCCAAACTAGTTATTTAATGAGGAATATCTGGAAATTCAATACTTTGTCATAACAAAGGAAGTCCTTTTGTTTGCTCTTTCATGGATGTACACATTGCTCGCAAGGCTAGTAGTTATTACTGTTTGTCCTTGAACTGTGTGGTCTCCTAGGCCAATTAGTTGAATCAACAATATCACTTTGGATCTGGAGTCACACATAGGCTAAAGCAAATACGGACTGCGGGTTTCCTTTCCCAAAGGACTTTAATGAATCAGATGTGTTTTTACAATAGTTGAAGATGTTTCGCCACTTGTGAGACAGTCCAAAGCTAGTGTTCCAAAATATAAGCTCCTCATTAACGAATTCAGGAGAACACCCTTTACCCAGAAAGTGTTGGGATGCTAGCATATAAAACCCTACAATGGATACAGCATAGAAGGAGACACTACATCCCATTTGTCTCTGCCAGTCACGTTTGAATCTGTCTTGAACATACCAGATCCTAATCACTGGCTGCGTAAAGTCTGGTTCTCAGCCCTTGCGTGAATGAAAATAATTTGGTCTATATCTTTTAAATCTCCTCAGTAGTGTCTCTGACGAGAGTAGCTTTTGCAATTTATCCATATTACCAAAGTCCATCATCAATGAAACTGTTCTGCACCCTCTCTAATGCTCTTGAATCTTCCTAACATGCGGTGCCCATGATTCATCTCAATATTTCATTTGGACCTGACCAGTATTTAATAATGGTGTATGTACTGTACCTTGATTGCTCTTTTACTGCATGAGTCTGTTTATAAAACTCAGAATGCTGAATGCCTTATTAACCCTTTCTCAAACGGAGGGGAGGCGATGGCTGAATGGTATTATCACTGGACTGTTAATCCAGAGACTTAGATAATGTTCCCAGGACCTGGGTTCGAATCCTGCCATGGCAGACGGTGGAATTTGAATTCAATTAATATCTGGAATTAAGAGTCTAATGAACACTGTGAATCCATTGCTGATTGTCAGGAAAAACCCATGAGGTTCACTAATGTCCTTAAATGTCTGGCCTACATGTGACTTCAGACCCACAGCAAAGTGGTTGACTCTTAACTGCCTGCTGGGCAATTGGGGATGGGCAATAAATGCTGCCTAGCCAGTGATGCCCTCATCCCGTGAATGAATAAAGGAAAAGAAAATATTTACCGTGCATGTCCAGACACATTTAAGAGGCAGCTACATGTGGAGTAATATATATGCAAACATACAAAGTAAGAGGTTGTAGGCCAGAGGCGCACCGACGACATTACCTAGCAGAAATGTCTGCAATCAAATACACCGACTCAGTGTGCACGTCTACAACCTCATCCACAACCCAAGCTACAAATCTGCTCAAAGTACAAAGTAAGAGTAGAAGTGACCACTCAACCACTCAAGCCTGCTCTGCCATTCAATAAGATCGTAACGATTTGAATACCGCATGTTCCCTCCCTTACTTGGTAACTATTCACCCTGTTGCTCATTGAAAATCTACCCACCACTATCTTCAAAATATTCCAAGACTGTGCTTCCACTGCCTTTTGGGCTTGAGAGTTCCAAAGATGCATGACACTCTCTGAAACAAAAAATTCGTCTTATATTTGTCTTAAATTGGGTGACCCCTTATTTTGAAGAAGTGACCACTAATTTTAGATCCTTCAGCAAAAGGAAACATCCTGTCTCCATGAACCCTGTCAAGATCTCTCGGGATCTTAGATGTTTCAATCAAGTCACCTCTGATTCTTCTAAATTTGAGTAGATAAAACCCAAATCTATCCAAATGCCCCTCATTAGACAACCTGCCCATTCCAGATATTAGTCTTGTAAACCTTCTCTGCATGGCTTCCAATATCTTTAGATCCCTTTTTAAATAAAGTGACCAGTACTGTACAAGTATTCCAGACGTAATCTCACTAATGCACTATATAATTAAAGCTAAGATCTTCCTACTTTTGTATTCAATTTCCCTCGCAATAAACAATAACATTCTATTAGCTTTCCCAATTACTTGCTGTATATGCATACCAACCTTTTGTGATTCATGCACGAGGACATCCTAGTGTCTCAAGTGGAACTAGGGATGGGCAATCAATGCTGGCCCACCTAGTGACACCCATATCCCATGAAATGAATGAAAACACCCAGATCTCTCTGCACCTCAAAGCTCTGCATTTTCTCACCAGTGAGATAATATGTTTTTCTTTCAATGGAAGAATATGTTTACAGGGTAAGGTAAAGCAGAGTATGAAGTGAATGATATGGAGGATAAACACCAGCATGGACCAGTTAGGCAGAATGGCCTGTTTCTGTGCTGTGTGAATATAATTGTGTAAAATTGATAATTGATTGATATAACAAGGAGCCAGATTTCATTTGCCCTTAACGTTACACCGTGCTGTTTGCTCATGGAGTTGGACAATAGCTACATAATTCTAGAAACTGAAGAGTGTTTCACAGATCTCAAACTAAGCAAGGAGAATGAATTTCTTACATTTTTCCCTCAAAGCTTGATCTCTGATGTTGACATTTAGCACAAAATAATCAAAAAAGCATTCTGCATTGCTACAGGCTGGAGTTTTGTTTCCCCTCATTGTATATATTTATGTTTGATGCAGTGATCTACCTGTTTCATAATGAGACAAAACCAGAACCTTACTTTGTGCAAACACAGCATTCAAAGTAAGAGACCTTGCCCAGGAGCAAAACCAACATTAAGTAAAACAAAGGTAAAATGCTCAAAGGGAAAGGGATTCTCAGGAAGTTTTGGCAAATCTGTTCACTTATGAACACACCCTGAATCTTGCCTAATCCCTCAGCTAAAGTTGCACAAGTTCATCTGTGAGTAAGACCCATTTCAGTGTTCACAGACACTAAGCTTACCTGGGTCTTAAATGTCTGAGGTTTACCGTCCATCTCAGGGTCAGCGTTGGGGCAAGTGGGGTCTCTGTGTCTTGAGAGCTAGAGGCAAGGTATGGGGAGACTGAACCTGAATGCGGTGCCGCCAGTGATACTGATTTGATTTAATTTGATTTGATTTGATTTGATGTGATTTGATTTGATTTATTATTATCACATGTAGCAAGATATAGTGAAAAGGAGGAAGGGTCACTGAAGGATTCTCACTCAATGGGTTGGTATTCAGTCAGTAGATGTTTTTCATACATTCAAGCCTCCAGGTTTGGAGTATCCAGAGTCACTCCCATGGGTTCTGTAACGAGGAACAAAGGACAGGGAGATCAGTTCTACCGTTTTAACACCCAAGATATCCTAGATAAAACTCCTTAAGATCCCCATTCTCCTTGTGTTTTACTTATTGTTGATTGTGCTCCTGTTTTTAAGATTTTCAGCTCTGCTAAATGCTTAGGCAATTGAACACAAATGGATTAACCCTTTAGCTAATAAACAGTGAACTGCCAGTAAAAGGGGCCCTTGTGGTGCAGTGGTAGTGCCCCTGCCTCTGGGGTTCAGGCCACAAATGCGTAATATCATCCCTGTGCACATTGAATAGAAATATCTAAAATGCTAGTAAATGAGGAAAGAGAGACTGGTTCACACGGCTTATGTAACTGTGGCTGTCTCAGTGAGATCATCGTCTGTACCAATTTTTCATAAAAAGCTCTCTTTTAAGGCTGGTAATTCGACAACTTACCACGTGATTTAGAAACATTCAGCAGTGGAAAGAAAAATCAGTGTTTGAAGTTAGATTCCTAATATCCTGAGGGACTGTCAAGTCCTTAGATACAGTCAGATTCATAAAGGAATAAGATATCGTAATCTGAATGTTTCTTACATGCACAGGAGATGAAATATATTTACATGAAATGGTAATATTGCTGTTGGATTTTATTACATGGCACTTTAAAAAAATTGTTCACTGTTTTTTGTCAGAAAATGGAATATTGCACAAAGCTATAAAGGTGAATCATAAGGTTCATATTATTGAGGAAATTACTCTCTTCGCTGAACCACAACCCGTGCAGAATCTGATATTGGATTCGAAACAGGTACAAATTTCTTTGCGATTCACTCTTATTTTCCTGTAGAAGGCAAAACAAACAGTTCCCATCTTAGCAGTAATGAATGCTGGGCCACGGCTCATTTACTGAAAAGCTATTTACTTTCAATTTTTTGCCAGCAGTCAATCACGCAGAGATTAATAGGGTCATCTTCCTTCCAGAATTTGTATCTAACTCGCGTCAATTTTTTGTGTTAAATTTGGGTTTTGTAACATGAGAGGATGCTCACTAGAGACTGATGAGGAAAGAAATGGTAAATTAAAATAAGGTGGAAACAGAGTGTTTTTGAAGGCTGTTGTTCTTTTTCATTCCCACTCTTCGTTTTGAAAATGGTGTTGAAGAGTGCAAAGATGTGCAGACTGATTAACAGTTGGAAACATGAACATCCTTCCATCAGTTTAACTACAACATCAATAAAGGACCCTATGGATTTTACATAGGTTACTCCTATATGCAGAATGGTTTTATGGACTCCCATTATCTACACGATGAAGTTCTGTGAGACGTCCTGGAACTGAGAGCAGAGACTTCTTGGAATTGGGGTTTGAACTCAACACCCCTTGGCTCAATAGAGTGGGGTAGAGGTTATATTATTAATACTGATGGAAAGATTTTCTAGGGAAGACAGTTGATTTTAAATTGTACCAAGACCAAGGTTGTAATCTTGAATCTAAGGCCAGTCTTTTCTGGTCCCTGGAGATGGCAAGAAGGAAATAATTGGGCATGTTATCCCTCTTCCATATCTCTCCCTACCCCCATCACAAGCAATTAAGTGTGTGGTGAGAAATTCAATAAGTAACCATCAAGTAATGCCTTTCAGTGCTCAGTTAATGGCCATTTAAAGGCCTCAACTCGTCGCCTCCCTGACAGAGTAACCATGGCAACCAGCCTAATGTGTTTGGCTGAAGTCCACCTTCTTTCCCTTTCATCTGAACACTTCTGCCCCGACCCCCTCTCTCCTTCCAAAAGGAAAAAAAGAAAAGAAAATGCTGGACCCCATAAGGACTAGGTCTCAATTAGCAAACTTTAGGGCCTAAAAGCTGCTAGACCCTGATTGGTCAGCAGTTTCTAAGTCAGGTCACCAGTGTCAAGGTCTGTGATAGGGCAGGATCCTCCCTCTTGCTGACCTGTCAGCTCTGAATAAGCTGATTGGTGGGTGATCTGCTGAGTTACCGCACCATCAGGGATGATATGTTGGCCACTATCTAACACATTTAGAAGTACAAATGGGAAAATCTTTTTATAACCTGTGCAGAAACAACATTTTAGTATTGTTGCTCTGTTATAGGAAAGTTATTATTAAACTGGAGAGGGTTCAGAAAAGATCTATCAGGATATTGCAGGGAATAGAGGGTTTAAGTTCAAAAATAGATTGGAAAGACTGAGACTTTTTTCACTGTAGCATGGGAGGTTGAGGGGTGATCTTATTGGGGTTTATAAAATCATGAGGGGCATAGATAAGGTGAATGATGAGGGTCTTTTCCCTAGGGTGGGGAAGTTCAAAACTAGGGGGCATATTTTCAAGGTGAGAGAAGAAAGATTTTAAAAGGACGTGAGAGCAATTTCATTACACAGAGAGTGGTTTGTGTGTAGAATGAACTGCCAGATGAAGTGGTGGATGTGCGTACAGTTACATTTGGATTAACTCAAGAATAGAAAAGGTTTGGAGGAAATGGGCCAAGCACAGGCAGGTGGAACTAGTTTAGTTTGGGAACATGGTTGGCAATGGACTGAGTGGACCGAAGAGTCTGTTTCTGTGCTATGACTGTACGATTTGTTAGTTATTCTGCAATATTAATAACCTTACATTCATGAGCATGCTAATCAGTCTGTGTTGGATTGAAGCAAACCATTTTATCTCCTGCTCGCAGGGCATGTTGTACGCATCGTCATTCTCTGGAGTGGTTCAGCTACCCGTCTCAAATTGCAACATTTATCCGAGCTGCGGAGAGTGTGTCCTGGCCAGAGACCCTTACTGTGCCTGGGATGGGAATGTATGCAGAGATATGCGAGGGTTGCAAACAGGACTGTAAGTAGTTTTCAAATGGAAGTGCTGCTTACTTATTAAACAGAAATCTCTAGTGAGGATTGATCAAGCTAAAAACCTCATTATTTACTGAGGCCATGTTTCAGAACAGAGCAGGGATGTTCTGGAAAGCATCCAACAAGCACTGGGGAGCCAGGAAGAGATCAGAGGAGAGGATTGGAAATATACAGTTTGATGATTACATTTGGGGCCAGTGAATGGCTGATTGTTTTAGTGTCAGTGATCACGGTGGGAGGTGTAGATAGAGAGTGCGTGTCCCTGATGTTGACACTGGAGTTGTCAGTCGAGGAGATATTGTCGAGGCTTGAGGGGTTTACATGTTTGGTTGTAGGGATGAGAGGAAATGCAGCTGTAACTCTTGGCCCACAAACAGTGCCGTAACGGCACTCACTGTATGGATCCAGCCTTTATCAGTTTTAACCTGCCGGATGTCCTGAGGCCCGGGCCTTCTGGCTGACATGAGAGGCCCAAAAGATTTCAGTGGTAAACCCACCTACTTTGCCACCTCAGAACTGGGAGTGAGTGGGGCTCAGGCAGGATTGATATTTGACTTTTTCTTTTAACACCTTCATCTCCCACCTGAACCAATCCAATAGCCATGAGGTTGGGGGCACCTCATTCCAGCAGTTAACTCTGTTTCTTTTGCCTCAATTGCTGCTAGACTTACAAAGTGTTGCCATCATTTCTTATTTTCATTACAGATTTCCAATATCCTTGGTGATTTGCTTCTCTTAAGGATGTATTTTGATATTTACAGTTCAGTGGAAAAGTTGCTGATTCCCTTGTCTATGTCTTTGTGAATATACTTCTGAGCAATTTTTCATGATTTCTATGTATATACGTAACATAACATCCCATAACATCCAGAGATGTGCAGGCTAGGTGGATTAGCCAGGGGAAATGCAGGGTTACAAGGATGGGTTGGGTCTGGATTGGATGCTTTTCGAAGGGTCAGTGTGAACTCGATGGGCCAAATGGCCTGCTTCCATGCTGAAAGAATTCTATGATCCTATAATTATTTGCAATATGCAAATAAATTTGCACAACAATGGAAAATATTCCGTGGATTTAGAAGTTGGGGTGAGTAACCACTTGTTGCCCAAAGATTGAGGGGGGGATCTTATAGAAACATATAAAATTATGAAGGGAATAGATAAGATAGAAGTAGAGAGGATGTTTCCACTGGCAGGTGAAGCTAGGACAAGAGGGCATAGCCTCAAGATTAGAGGGAGCAGATTTAGGACTGAATTGAGAAGGAACTTCTTCACCCAGAGGGTTGTTAATCTGTGGAATTCCTTGCCCAGTGAAGTAGTTGACGCTACCTTAAAGATAAGGTAGATAGTTTTTTGAACAATAAAGGAATTAAGGGATACGGTGAGAACGCGGGTAAGTGGATCTGAGTCCACGAAAAGGTCAGCCATGATCTTATTGAATGACGGAGCAGGCTCGAAGGGCCGGACAGCCTACTCCTGCTCCTAGTTCTTATGTAAAGCAATTACACCTTCTGACCCACAACGTCACATGTGCAATAACCTTCCCATCTGTCAACATTCAGCACCATACAGCAATTAATCTCTAATTGACCTCCGTCTTCGTTCAATTAAACAGCAATTAGGTTTTGTAGCCTTTAACGGACAAAGCTGTACTTCAGCAGGAGGACAATAGTTTATTGTACAAGAACTGCTGTTTTTCTTATAGATAAAGCAGCATGTCAGTGAATTTAATGAAAAGTCTTGCATTTTTGTAACATCTTCCCTGTCCTCAAGACAATCTAACATAAGTTATAGCCAGAGAAATGCTTATGAATTATAGTTACGTGCACAGTAGCTAATTTGCACAAGGCAAACTCTGGCAAAAGTGACATAATAAACACTGCTTATGGTTTTTTTTTTACTGATATTGATCAAGGATAGATACTGACTAGGGATAAATCCTTCACCTCGCACACACCACCATCCCCTCATTTTGTCAAAGTAATTCTAAGGGATCTTTTGTGTATAACCAATGGAGAGTGACTGTCACCCCAATTAAGCATTACATCTAGAAGACTGCATTTCAAACAGTGCAGCACTCCCTCATTGATACACTGGGACATCAGCCTAGGTTTTAGTTCTCCAGTCTCTGGAGTGAGACTTGAACCTGTATCTTCAGATTCATAGCCAACATGACCCAATGAACACAACTTGAGGCCATTTGTCAGGTGTCAATATTTGTAACGGGTGAAATACTAATACGCAATCCACCTACGTTTGTTTGTTTTTGTGTGAGGGAAGGAAATGAGGCATCGTTTTTTTCCTGGTAAGCTCCTAATGCAAAGCAGTACAATGGAGGCGCAATGTTGAAATATTGCAGAGGGCCATTATGCTGCCTGCCTGATGAGCTGTCAATCCTCTTTATTGGGTTAGCCGGGCTGATCCGTATTGCTTGCAGTATCACAACCTCTATGTCAACTGGCCATATTCAGCCTGTCATTACCCTAAATCGCAGTGTCTAAGTTGACCCAGCATATAGAACAACCCCATCATCTCAGACCCAACAATCACACATGAGAGGAAGGGGGTAATCTCACTGGCCTAGCAACCCTAAACCTAATGTTAATGGTCTGGGAGATGGGTTCCAATCTCACCATGGTACACGGTGTAATATGTATTCAGTTAAAATCTGAAATTAAAAGGCCAGCCTGATAGTGAACATGTAAATACTGTCAGTAGTTATTAAAAACCCATCTGGTTCACAGTTGCTGTTCAGGGTAGGAAATCAGCTGTCATTACCTTCTTTGGCCTAAATGTGACCCAAGACAGACAGCAATGTAGCTGACTCTTAACTGCCCTCTGGCTTGGCCAATGATGCCCACATCACACAAACAAATAAAAGAAAACACCATTACACCTAATGATGTAAAGTCAACTCCCTTTTTCACCCACAATTTGCATTACTAGTTAGTCTCAATTTTTCCTCCCACAAACGCATGATACTGACCATGACCAAATAAAGGGATACAAGTGATCGAGTGGGAGTTAGAGCTGGGCTGCATTGTGAAGTTGATGTGGGACCTTAAGTTACATCAACTCGTTCTGCCAATTGCAGGTGATATTTCAAAATGTTTCATTTTTAGCCTCAATACCTAAGTCAACCCCAAGGTTTGGAAAGATTTTCCAAGGCTTCGGAAGTAGACTTGTACATTAACCTCTACAATGGTTAAAACTGGCCCTAAGTAGAATTGGGAAAGTAGTGCCATTCAAAATTTGAAGCAGCAATCCCAGAGTGACTGAGATATTGAACCGTCAGCACACGGGCCTTATACCGACTGCTCATATCAGATATTTAATTTACAGCCATTGGAAGCAGGACGTTGAGAGAGGCCGACCAGAGCAACAGTGTCAGCAACATGACAGCTCCTCATTAGGTCCCAGGGCATTACGGCCATCTCGTAAGTAATTCCTACACTTCCAGGAGAAATGTGCCCTGGAAAATAAGTTATTGTTTGAATTATGCTCTTTTTCCGAATGTTTGGATTACAGCTGTTTAGTTTGCACTCGTTCTGGGAGATGGTTGGGTTAGCAAGTTGAAGAGAAACCATTCTGAATAGCCGAGGACTGGAATTTACAGGCTGCTGTGTACCCCAACAATCTCTCTTTCCCACGGCTAACAAATGGTCATCAGCCTGAATATCTCAAACTTGACTGCCCAGCAACAATTTTACTCAGGGGCTGCCCGAACTTTTTCGGAGTGCAACCTCAGCCCCACTATTCACTACCTCTGGGAGGGAGCCCTGCCCTAGAGAGCTGCTGGCCATTCTGATTAGCTGGCAGCTCTGTCGTCCCATCAGCACCAGCTTTGAGCTGGGGCTATCGCCCATCCCTGAAGAACAGCGAGAGGTGGAGCCCCTAATTAAAGGTAAGTTAGACAGGCCTGCTTGGCAGAACGCAGCAAGGGACAGTGGTTGAGTGGGTTGGGTGAGCATTAAAGTTGGAGCAACAATCTTGAGGGGAAGCGGTGACTTACTTCAGATGGGCACATCGGATTCCAAAGTGAGATGCCCCCCACCTCTGCCTGACATAGCAGCGTAACCAACCTGGCCTTCACTTTCCCTTGCTCCATGTAGAACAGCAGAGAGGCCCTAAAGTGGTTATTAAATAGGTCAGTAGTGGGGCCTGTAAAATCCAGCCCATGCAGCACTCTTTGGAATATTGCTGAGGATGTGGCCTTCCCATCTTCAAACAACACTCTTACAAGGTTATCCAGTCTACACACATCCCCTTCGACAAAAGTCCTAAACTCGACCAAGGGCTTATGAAACAGGAAATGTGTAGAAAATACGTAATGTTACAGACAATGTTAGCGACTGCATGAGCAGTGTCCCTTCAGATTCATTTTGGCTCTACACGACAGTTTGTGGCTCCAACATCCAGCCCCAATTTACCATTGACTGGCAGGCCTCAACTTCCCAAAGCTCTGGAATTCCCTCCCTAGACCTCTCAGTCTATCTCTGTTCTCCGTTAAGACACCTCTTGTAACCTATTTCTGAAGAAAGGTCTTGACCCGAAACGTCAGCCTTCCTGCTCCTCTGATGCTGCCTGGCCTGCTGTGTTCATCCAGCTCTACACCTTGTTATCTCAGATTCTCCAGCATCGGCAGTTCCTACTATCTCTTGTAACCTACCATTCTGTGGAAGCATTTTGTTCGGGCATCCCATTATCTCTTCATATGTCACATTGTGAAGGGCCTTGGATATATTATTGCAATAAAGTGGCCTTATACATGCAGGTGATTGTTGCTTTTCATCAGCAAGCTACACCACATGGAATCATAGAAGAATCATAGAATCCCTACAGTGTGGACACGGGCTGTTTGGCCCATTGAATCTACACTGATCCTCTGAACAGCATCTCACCCAGACCCAACTCCACCCTGTTCCAGTAACCCTGCATTTCCCATGGCTAACCCACCTAGCCTGCACATCCCTGAACACTACAGGCAATTTACAATGGCCAATCCACCTAACCTGCACATCTTTGGACTGTGGGAGGAAACAGGAACACCCAGAGAAAACCCAAGCAGGCATGGGGAGAACATGCAGACTCCACACAGACAGTCACCTGAGGGTGAAATCGAACACGGGCCCCTGGTGCTGTGAGGCAGCAGTGCTAACCACTGTACTTCCCCATGAAATACAGTTGTTCACAAGTGTAATCAGCCACAGGTTTAAAGGCCATGGGGTAGACAAGTAAATAGAATTGAAGCAACCATCAGATCAACTATAACCAATGATAGAGCAGGCCTGAAGGACTGAATTGCCAATTCCTGCTCCTTAGGAACATTTGACTGGACTGGACTGGACTGGACTCAATGTGACTCTATATTTGGTGATTCAATATTGACCTCTGAAATGGCCTGACTAGCCACACATTCATATCAAACCATTAGGTTAGAAAGCCCTAGGACTCTTCAGCCTCAAAAAGAGAAAACAGTGTGAGAGGGTGTTACAAGGCCTAGCACAGAATAGAGATGAATTGTTCTGGAATCTGTTGTATATTCAGAAGGGACACGATAATGTAATGCGAATTATTGTAATCCAGAAATCCAGATAATATTCCAGGTTCATGGATTGAACTCCCACCAAGGCAGATGGTGTAATATTAATTCAATTTTTTTTTAAAAAGTCAGGAATTAAAAAGCCAGTGGTGATCAAAAAACCATTGTCGATTGTTTTAAAAACCCATCTGGTTCATGATGTGCTTTACGGAAGGAAAAGTACCATTGTTACATGGGTATGTCTACCCGTGACATGTCGTTGACTCTTAACTGCCCTCTGAAGTGGCCCAGTAGGTCATTCAGTTCAGGGGCAATTAGGGACGGGCAATAAATGCCGGCCCAGCCAACTACACTCCGAACCAAAGCGTGACTAAAGAAAACAATTTAACCGTTAACTGCAGAAGATGACAGAAGTAGGGACAATGAAATGTCTTTGGGCAACCAGCTCATTGGTCTTGGGATGCCCGCTGTCTAATAGAGGTCCATATAGAAATGCTGACAGGAGGGAGGGCAGGAAATGTCGAGAGAAGCCATATTTTTGTAGAAAGTCTCATCCAGTATCTTCAGATTCCACAAGATAATCTTTAAAATTATTCTGCACGTTTTCTGATCCACACCTTGTGCCTCCAGCCCTGTCTGTTGAATATTTGACAGCTTATTGAATATTTCATATCTCTGATTTACCTCCAAGCAATGCAGAGATGGCACTGGTTTCTAAATGTGTGACAGGTTTATTTACAGTGCTTTAATCAGTGCTACAATCACAAAGTATTGGCACCAGTGCTTGTACCTGCTGAGCTTTGAGGTCATTCTGTTTATTCAAGCTCTGAGTCAATACCCAGCCTAATAAATTGGGCACAGTGAAGACAGATCGTCAGTCTCACACCATCAAACATAGACCAATTAAACCATTGAATATGACCATTGAATATTTTAAAATTGCAATTGACATCCTAACGTCATTAAGACCCGTGCATGACCGACTGCTCATTTCTGGAGAAGAGTCAAATTTGACTTACACCTTTTGCTCTATTTGTCCTTACCAGACCTGCTGAGTTTCTCTAACACTTTGTTTTTGTGTCACCTTTAGCTACGTGTCCTTATACATGCATATCCTGTACAAGATATTGAAACTTGCAAGCTCTATTTTCATAAAGACAGCAGACCTCTGCTAGAAAGTTTGCTTTAAATTGGTTCTTGGGGTGTAAGTGTCACTGATAAGACCAGCATTTATTGCTCATCACAAATTGTGGTGATGGTGAGCTGCTTTCTTGAACCAATGCAGTCTGTGTGGTGTAAATACACCCACAGTGTCATTCAGAAGGGACTTCCAGGAGTTTGGCCCAGCAACAATGAAGGAACAATGATATTTTCCCCAGTCAATCTGACTTGTAGGGACACCCATATATGGAGGTGTTAAAGTTTGGGAATTTTATATGTGTGCTGTCAAATTAAAATTCAGTTCTCTGTGGGGGATAAGTAGACCATCAGTTTTTAATTCAGAGGTGGACACTGATGCTGTGTGTGTTAAATCCACCACAATGGTATAATGACAGTTACGTAGAATTACAATGAACAGCCCAAATGCTGGCTGTTCGATTCCGGGAGTTTTTAATGCTGTACGTTACTACTTCCTCCACTAATTCCTCCAAGGCTATCAACATAACCTTCAATTCCTGTGTTCCTCGTGTATTGGTCTGGCTTCCCCCTCAAATGCATCAACGCTATTTGCCTCAACAACCCAATGTGGTAGCAAGTTCCACATTCTAAGCACTAGATAAAGAAGATGCTCTTTAAAGAATGTCCTGTCTGACATATTTATGACAATACTATGTTTGTGACCCCAAGGTCTAGTCCCAACCAACCAACAGATGAAAACATCTTCCTTATATCTACCACATTGAATCCCTTTATAACTTTATAGTCTTCTCACAAATCATGCTTCAGTCTTCTGACTAAAGAGCCCTAGCCCATTCAGTCTTTCCTTAAAACTCTTTACTTCTAATTAACCAATGGCTGTGCATTCAGCACTCAGGTTGTAAACCCTGTGACTCAGTTCCCCAAATGTGTTCTGCCAGATTTACTTTCCACACATTTATTTTACTACTAGTTGTTTTAATCAATTTGTTTGGCCATGCTATGATACACCTCCAAAGCAGGTGTGTCTTGAACCCAGACCTCCTTGCTGAAAGGTAAGGACATTACCACTATGCCACAAGTGCCTACGTCAACAGAAATGAATGGGTTAGAATTTGCTGCAAGAAATGTAATAAGATTGAACATGCAAATCTATCAATCTGGTTTGAGGATGTTGACCTGTCTGTTCATTAGTGAATAATAAATTCATGTGCTGGTCGTATCATGTTAAATGGAGAATCATTCATTTGTAAATAGAATAAATGTATTTAAAATCAAGAAAATCGACCATAATCAGAGTAAACTAAACACTGCTTGAACAGATGCTTAACTCTGTTATCCATTATCTTTCACACATGTTAACTACTTAGAAGAATTACATTTCTATAGTGCCTTTCCCAATCAGTAGGTTCTACGGTAAGGAACTAAAGATGATGTATAGTCACAGTTGAAGTGTGAAGAGAGACACGTTACTTATAATTCCTCTGTCTCAGCTTTCTCTGTGGCAGTGGGATGTACTTGCGTTCTGTTTCTGTAGGTCCTTGTCTTTGAAATGTGCATTTTAAGACACAGTATTGACTTTTTCTGTCTCTGATAAGCAGGTACCACCTCCTGTGAGACGGTCACTGTGAGACCCAACAGTTTCAGGGTGCTGACATGCAAAGTGCAGTCAAACTTTGCCACCAGGACGTGGACTCACAATGGGGCAGCAGTCGATGACAGTTTCATGGTGCTTCCCGATGGTGGGATCATTGCTACAGCGGAACCTCTGGGGGTCTACGAATGCTGGGCCATAGAAGAGGACTTTTGGCTCCTGGTCGCAAACTACTGCATGCGATTGGATGGTTCTCCAGAGGCCACGACCTTGCATGCATCAAGAAAGTCCATCCAGGGATTGAATGATGGACCTGGATCACAAGGGAAAGGGATCATTATCAATCCGCTCAGCAGTGAGAGCCGCTTCCCTCAGCTCACCAATGGCAAGACTTACTGGACGGAGTTTGTAGCAGTAAGCGTGGTCTTTGGGTTAACACTTGCGGTCTTGTCCCTTGTCCTTTTGTACCGGAACAGAGACAAAATGAAATCGCTGATTAAGGACGGTGAGTGCTCGAACATACAGCAAAAGAAGCAAAGGAAGATTGAGATTCCTCACGAAAGCTTGCCTTTGAATGGAAACCCAGTGCAAGTGGTAGCCTCTGAGCATCACAAAGGCTACCAGAGTCTGAATGATAACCATATCTGCAGTACCCCTGTGCTGGAAAACGCTCTCAATGACAAGGACTCTGGGTACCCCGAGTCGCCGAACAACCAAATGAACCAAAAAAACTTGTACGTGGAGATTTCTGCTCATTGTCCCCACCCAAGGGTGAGGATTGGTTCTGAAATCAAAGACTCTGTAGTGTGAGACGGCAGAGTGAGTTTGAACTATGGCACCAACTAAAGCCTTCCTATAAAGGACGGGGCACACAAAATTTGGGAAAAAATAGCTTGGCAGCTTACAAGACTAAAATTGTTGTTCTGTGCCATGTACACTTTCTATTCTGTATGTGAACCACATGCATGGATGGTTATTGGTGTGGAAACTGAGCTTATAGTAAACCTGTGTGTCTGTGACCATCCACCAAGCAGCATGGAACAGCGCATGACATATTGACTGGCAATTTTTCCCAATCCGTTTGCAATTTAGGGCTCATGGTATGTGACATTGATATTCAATTTCTTGTTTTTTTTTTGGGGGGGGGAGGTGGGGTGTTGTGGTTGGGGGGTGGGGAATGGGGGGAGGGGGGTTGGAGGGGAGGTGGGGGAGCGATATGGTGGTGGGGGAGAAAGATAATCACAAGACGAAGGTGGATGAGAAAGCAGTAAGGTTTGTGAACTGGAGGTTATATTCTGATATAACTGTAGGGGGTTGTGGCTAAGCAGCCTTACAATGGCTGACTATATATGTAGCAAGCATTGCATAAAGCATTATTATTTTACAGCAGTCACTAAATATCCATAGTGGCTGTTTCATACTGTGTGTCTCGCTGTGACCTTATGAGGACGCAGTTGAAAACTCTTCCCTTCCATGTGAAAAGTACAAACCTGATGACTTTCTGCAGAAATCTACCATAGAGTTGACATACATAATGTACAGAAAGATAAAACATTTCTCCAATAATGTAACGGTTGTAATAAATCTTCCAGAAGTGGGGAGAACGTGACAAACACAATCCTGTTGTTTAAAAGAAAATGCTTGAAAATTTAACAAATTGTTCTTGATCAAATAACTTTTTTTAAATGTTTAATTGATAAAGCAAATAATTAAAATAGACATTAGTTGTAGTGTAGTTGGTTGTTACTTACATAGTTGATTACAACAGTTGGTTTGGTCAAGGTATATTTGGACAGGTGAGCTCCAGTGTTTAGAGTATTTGCCCATAGTTTGTTTGTGATGTTCAGATAGCTGTTTGAACAGGTGAAGCACTGACAAAGATAGGGAAGGATTCATTGGGAATGTTCCATAATTACAATTAACCAGTTTGTATTTTTTAAAAACTAAGATGTCCCAAAGCATTTCACTGAGGTGCAATGTAGGAGAAGAGTTAGAAATGGTCAAAGACCTGATCAAATGAACAGTCGCTGTTGAGTTTGCAATCAGAAGATGTGTATAGTGAGTCCTGTATCCCTTCTGTTAACAGTCAGTATAAAGATCAATTATGTTCAGAAGACAGGAAGAGCCTAATTAAGAAGAACTGATCTATTTTAGGTGACACCAGTTAAATATAAAGCCCTGGGTGAAGTACAAGTGTTGACCTGATCTTAACACACTTTATCAGGACCCTAGTTTTCCATTGGTTAAGTCTCTGCCTTTCAATAAAAACCCAATTTCTTGATGTTACCTTTTAAGGACAAGCCCATATACTCAACAGTATTCATTGAAAGAAAAGTCCCAGTAATTGGATAAGTCATTTGTTAGAAATGTGGACTTTAAGTCAAATTAGTTTGGCTAACTAAATGGCACTCTTAAAAATTAGTATTACTTTAAATATATCTGTGCCCCACACCGTAAAAATTTGTAAACACTTGCACCATTACTATCGCAGTTCTTAGGCTCCAACTTATGTTCTTGGAAATAAGTGCAAATATACGGTAGGGTTCCTTGAATTATGAAGAAGGTACATATTATATGACATCATATAAATGTGTGTCTCCAGCTGGCCTTTATTTTTCAGTCATTATGTTTTGATTCACAATTTTGTTTCTGGTTTCTCACTAATAAGACAGACCTTTTAAGGCAAATGTTATCACAGTTCCCGTTTAAACTGAGGTTGTGTAGGTGTAGGTAACAACAAAACCAGTGCTGCAAGCTGTGCTAAAAGATGGTATGAAAATACGCTCAAGTAGAAAGAAAACAGATTTTTACCGTTAACATTGATGGGAATTATGCTGAATTTTTTTTTACACCAGAAGAAGATCTTTAAGCTGTGAAACCAGGCTGTAGTAGCAATTTCTCAGTGGAAACCTGTAAAGGAGCCGCTCTACCCTGAAACATAGCATTTTGAATAGTCATCTACAGTTTATTGTGTGTACATTGTTAGTTTAAACAACAATCTGAAAAGCTTGGTCAGTCAAAAAAGAATTTATTGCAAAGGAACATAGGAGAAAGAGGAAGCCGTGCAATGCAGTGAGCCTGTTGGTTAGCAGGTCCATACTTCTGTTTATCCCCCTCACCAGCCTGCTCCCAGCCTAAGTCATTCACCCACATCAGGAAAGCCTTGCACTCCTTTCCCCCTATCCACCCACCTAGCTTTCCGCAGCTAAAGTTAATTTGCAGCTTTTAGTGCAACCTCAATTCATCACTCTCCAACCACCCTAGTTCCAAAGGAAATTAGTCTTGTGTGTTAGAATTCTGATGTTATTGTCTCCCAGGCTGAGGAGCGGTTAGTTTAATGGCAGTGCATTTCCTCACGAACAGCTACTCACAATAGAAATAATAAAAACATTGGAATTTTATTGGAGAAATAATATTACGGCTGTGACAACAAGCTCCACTGGCAATTAAATCTGTTCTTCATTGGCCCAAGTGTATCATTTTTAAACAGTGTGCATGCAAAAATCTATTATGTTATCAGCTTTGTTTTATAGTAAATGCTTTTTTGAAAGAAATATAAAAACTTATGTTACCTTCTGCAGATTAAAATAAGGTTTTATGTAGGTACATCTAAACACAGTTTTACTAAGGAATACTTGTAATAATTGTCTAAAGTACAATGGTCTTATACGGTTAGCACAAACCACAAATTTCCAACTGGTAATAGTTGTTACCTGAATTCCTATGCACTATGTATAAAATCTTTTTGTCGGGTACTAGTGACTGCACATTGCCATCTACATTCTTGGGCTTTTTGCACACGTCTTGTATATATTGTATGGACTGTATTTTGTGTATTCTCTGTAAAATGTGATGTTTTCCCCCTATAGGTGGAATTCTTAAGCTGTTACATGTTTTGTTGCTAATGTTTCTTTGCTTTTTGTAAACTGAATTGATCTAGAAATGTAATAATTTCAGAAGAAAATGGTCTTAAGTTTATCATTTTACACTGTGTTAGATGTAGGCTTGGCAGTCTTAAATATTTATGACTTGGGTGGGGGGGGGAAGTAATCTAATTATCTCCAGAAGTCTTTCATTTTATGTGTGGGTATCTACAATCAAATGATTGGAAAAAGCAATGACCAAACACACAGTGTGTTTTAAAATGTTTTTAAATGGTGGATCAAAATATGATTGTACTTTATACTTGTGGAGTATGTAATAGCATGTTTTAAAATGAATGACGTTTTTAACATTGTGTGTTTTAGTGTGGCTGTAATAATGATAAGTGCTAGTTCTGATTTAAGGTGGAATGTAGGAACCTGGGATTGTTGATTGTACAGACAGAGAAAAATAGCTCAGTTTGGAAGTTTAAAGTCCATCTGAGCTCTACATAATGTTCCAAGACATTCCAATCATGTAGACGTCAACATTTACCTACAGTATCGACTTAGATTTACGTAAGAACTTTAAAGAAATCTTTCATTGTAAAGTGCTTTGAGATGTCCTGAAGACATAGTAAGGCCAGATAAATGCAATGTCTGAAGAATTTATCATAGGCGTGTATTATGAAATACCAAAGTTACTTATTATTAGGAATAATAATGTGACTGACTTGTAGAGGTTCAAAGACCTCGAAGCAGATGGTTTATACTGGTTACATTCCAGTTATTAAATGAGGAGAAAAAGAGTTATCACTGATCTGTGTCCTTTTTTTTTATTAAGAAACTTGCGGGTGAGAACAGTGAGATTTAGGTCAGTGCTTAAACAAGGAATATGTGTATGGTGGATCTGTCAGGATGAATCCGATACTGTACACTCAATGGAAATATAAAGACATAGGGAAGGGGGAAGATCTGTCTTGGAAAAGTATATGGTACAAATGACAGTCTACATTTCTTGTAATGTACATTTAAATAAACTCATTAAAAATGGTACCAGAGACTGCCAAGTCTTTTTGATAACACAGAGCAACGAACGTGCCTGTTAGTGTTTTGTATGTTAATCTTGTCACTGTATGGTGTTATTAAAAAGGCACTTTATTTCTTTTTTTTGTAATAAAACACAATAAAAAATGTTGTATTTTGGTACTGCGATTTGTGAATGAGTTTTGCGCGTTTGATCTTGTAACACTCTGAATACAGTGTGCAAAGGCCCCAGTAATGTTTCCATTGGCTTTAAATTGATGAGAGGCTGAGGGTAGAATTGAGGAACGAATTCAGCTCTGGTCAACATACATTACACACGGTGGAGGTCAATTGTACAATGGAAAGGAACTTTGGGCAGGATGTAAAATGGGTAGCCAGGCAACTACTGCCTGTTTTGCCCACATTCGCATCAGAGCGCAACAGAAAATGGTTAGCTGATTAATGCAATATTGTAATAACTGGAACCTTATACCTTTGCGTTGACTCCCAATGCTGTGCTATCCATTTCACTTGCATTTTTGCTCAGGTTTTGCAGTGCCAACACAAATTAACAAATTCCCTCCCTAAGGGTATTGTGGGTCAATCCACAGCAGGTGGACTGCAGTGTTTCAAAAAGGCAGCTCACCACCACCTTCTCAAAGGCAACTCGGTACAGACAATAAATGCTGGCCAGCCAGCAATGCCCATATCCCACAAATGAATTTTAAAAACTTGCATGGTAATATCAACTGGTCTGAGTTTGATGTTTTGCTGGGATTGATTCATCTGATTGTAATAACATGGTTTGAATAATAATTCTTAATCAAATATTAAAGGGTGATCTCCATACTTAAATTATTTGAAATAAGTGAATTAATCATTTCATTATTATTTAGTTGCTGACAACCTTCTAGATCCTTCCTCCTCCAATCTAACTAGTTCTGCCCCACATCCATAGTCCATAGACACAGAGATCACAAGATAGTGAAATGACATGGGGTAAGAGCAGGAAAATATGGCTCCTTATATAGATCTTGTTTAGAGAACTGGCACATCCACGAGGGGCCTAACGGCCTCATTCCATGCTGTAAAATGCTATGAGTGCTAATTGATAAACCCCTATCTTGTTTTCCTTGCTTTGTTGCAAAATTCGGAGTTATTATTATATTTTGTTATTTTTAGTTCAGATCTCAAACATCCGCAATACTTTGATGTATTATTGTGTCCAATTCTATGTGTTTCTCTTC